TTTTTTTTGGCTCTGGGTGGTAATAAATATCTGTTGATTGAAACTGTTATCTCCTTCTTCTTTAGGCCCTTAACTCAACTGTGTTGAAGAAGGGAAGTCTCTTTTCCGGCGGTATAGTGTCGCAATACAAACACAAGAATGCTACAGGCGATGTTAAAATCAGTACAGAATCAGAGGTAGTAGCTCGCCTTCCATTTTTTTCCCTTGCAAAATGAATTCAAATTCAAACTGGTTTTAATCATTGTCCTTTAGTGGAGCAGGTCTCAACAACATTTACCATCACAGATATCGTGCCGTCTACAAGAACCATTGCTTCAATTAAACTACCTGATTACAAATCTGGCAAGGTATCATCTCCAGTGGCATGTAATGTACATGTATTAGAATTATTCCTTTAGTCACAATTTTTGAAAGTTTTACGGTCATATATTTCTGTTTTTGCAGCTGGAGGTACAGTATCTCCATGAACACACATCATTGTCTACAGCTATTACTCTGAATCAGTCCCCTGCTATCGATTTCTCTGCAACCATTGGTACCCCAAGCATTGCCTTTGGTGCAGAAGCTAGTTACTCGACAGCTTTCGGAAAATTCTTGAAGTATAACGCCGGTGTAAGCTTGACAAAACCAAGCTCTATTGCTTCAGTAATTCTGTAAGTCCTTCATTGAGGTCCTTGAACTCTCTACTTTTGCGATGTCAAGCGACACATATATGCATTCCATCGTGACACCAAAATACATTCCAACGTTTACGCTTCTTGCTTGTATGTTATCATTTGTGCACATCAGTAATTGCTCGATTTTCTTTTGATAGGGCTGACAAAGGAGACTCACTAAGGGCTTCATATTTGCATTATCTGAAGCAGCTGAATGGTGGAGCTATTGTTGGGGAGGTAAATAGAAGATTTTCCACAAATGAGAACACCTTGACAGTTGGATGTTCATATTTAGTTGATTCCAACACAACATTGAAGGCAAAGCTCAACAACCATGGCGATCTTTGGGCTCTTTTATTGCACCAGGTTACGCCCAAGTCCTTCCTCATAGTCTCCGGTGCCTTTGACACCAAGGCCTTAGAGAAAGAACCCAAGTTTGGTTTGTCACTCAACCTCAAGCCTTAAATAGTGATACTGATTTAAGTACAGATGTTATTCAGTTTACACATAAATTGAGCCCAAGTTTGGAGTTTGGTCTTTTTCCTCTTTATCCCTTTCCTTTTCCTTTTTCCCCTCTTTATGCAATTTTTATTTTTATTTTTTTTTTGCTCGACAATGTAATTTTGATTTTGATTGCATATAATCTTAATGAATAACGGTTTAATTTTGTTTTTCAATATGTTGAACTACTTTAGTGAAGTTATTTTCAAAAGATTCTACTATTCAATCTTTTTCATGATAAGAGTCGCCATATCATAAGAGTATTATATGTCCTAAGAAAGTAAGACATCAACATTATATATATATATATATATATATAGAGAGAGAGAGAGAGAGAGAGAG